TGCAGCCAAGATGGCTGCCAAACACCCACACCTGTAGGTCATCCCACTGATAAGGATCCTTCGCTACATAAGGCTGCAAGCTCTACTCTCCACTGGAGCATTAAGTGATTCATGGTAGTTATTGCATCTGGCCCTTTAGTGTCCTTGTGAAAGTGATTACCAATATCACTTGTTTCATGTGCTCTAGCTTACCTGTGTCTTCAATTGCCTCATAGTACTGGCCTCCCTGGATCCCAGTACCTCCTTGTGTTCCTTGCCCTCCATCCAATAGCCTGCCAAACTTGTGTCTCTTCCTGGATCCTTGTGGGATTGAAATCCAAGACCTGGATCTATCCTCAGCTGTAAGATAAGAAAGACCTCATTTAAATCCTCAGCTTTATAGTACTTACCTGACCTATATCCTTGCTCCTCAGGGCTCCAGAGGATCATCAGTGTACATTTAATATCTCACTGTAAAATAAAGCACTGATAACTTTTCTACGTGTGGAGTCTTGCCTCGCTCACTTGTTATATCTGGGTTCCTCAAGTTTTGACACATTTAAAACAAAACTAGACTTTAAATGGTGAATTAAATTTACACGATGACGATAATTGCCGGACGTCCGCCCCCTGAGCTGCTGGCTTTCAGTAACAGTCATTCTGTAAATAATTTATGTGAATGTCCCTGGCATTTTTTCAAATTTCTTAAGTTGCTAAAAATCCAAATGACTAATTTCAGTCAGTTGCTGTGCCTTTTAAATTCCTTCTGAAATGTTCTACACTGTAATTTGTCTGACAGGTCTCTTTTACTGTGTTTTTCTTCCTCAGCTGACAATGCAAATGGACACAGTGGCCCACCGATCCTGCTACCTGCTCCTGTCCATTCTGGGCTCTCAGCTATTATAGTCGTGTGTTTTCAGCTTCATGACATGTTTAAACAAATGGTTTTGTTTGATTGAGCAGGAAAGCTCTACGTATTGTGAAATTTGCATCTCTCTCCCTGTCTTTTGTAGGAGTACAGAGGTTGCTTTTGTTGTTTTCTGTGTGGCATTTTTGTGGTCACTGTTTATCGAAAACAGGGTGTGTCACAAGGTATGCATTTGAAGATTTTAAAGCAAACTGGAAGACATTGTTTTGAAGAAGGAGGCTCTGGATGTTCATTATTCAGATTTGGGGGACGACATGTACTGTGAGGGAGTTACAGTATTTATAATTCACGAGGTTATCATTTTAACAGTAAATTCAATTCTATAGTCAGCAAACAAAATAAATCCTAATCCTAAATCTATATCAAATCCATATTCAAATACAGTTACAGTCATTTCTAATCATAATGCAATATATTAAAATGAAATAAAATGCCAATTAATAAAAGCTGTAATCCAGCAGATTCTGACAAAACTTCTGTTTTTTTGTCTTTTTCTGCAACTGCTCATCTCGAGCAACAAGTTAGTGACAGTGGAAAGGAATGACTCCCTTTTAACAAAGTGAAACGTCCAGCAGATGTTAGGACAATAAATTATTTACTCTATTTAAAATGATAAACTCTTTGAGTGAAAATTTAGTGTTTCTTGTCTTATCATTTAGTCTGCAGCTGTAAAACACACAGAGTTCTTTGTCTATAAGGAGCAGCAAACCCATTCCCATCAAACCCACACACAGAAGTTAAAGTTTTACACAATATATTTTCTTCTGAGCTACAAACACGAGATAAATTTAATTAACATGAGACTGTTTCAAGACTACTAGCGTGAGAAACGAGAACAAAAACCTCAACCAGCTAACAGTTCAGAGGGCAGGAAAGAGACACAGAAAACACATAATGAATGGTCCAGGTGTATTTCTAAGTGAAGAAAAACAAAGGTTAATGATAGAAAAATAAAAAAATAAAATGGGGAGGTGGCAGGGTGGCTCAGTTGGCAGAGTTGTTGCCTCTCAGTGAGACGGTCGCTGGATCGAATCCCGGCCAGGGGATCTTTGTATGTGTAGTTTGCACGTTCTCTCCGTGTATGTGTTTGTCTGATTGGTAACTCTAAATTGTCTAGGTGTGGTAGGGACAATTGTACAAGTCTCTCTGTGGAACCAACTTCCAGTTTATGTCTGTAAGGCTGACACCTTGTCTACTTTTAAGATTAGGCTTAAGGCTGTCCTTTTTGATTAATTCTATAGTTAGAGTTGGCTTGGGTTTCCTGACCTATCCCTTAGTTCAAGGTCAAGGTTTCTTTATTGCCATTCACATCATATGTGGTGCATGTGGTGGAACGAAATTGTGTACACAGGGTCCCAGTTACATCATGCTGCTATAGGTTTAGACTACTGGAAGACAAACTGACCTCATTTCATCAAATGAATAATACAAATTAATAGTTTGTATTTGTAATTATTTCTATCTTAACATGCATTTTTTGTCTTTCCTCCTAGAGAAAGTCCTGCTCGCCTCCATTCTGGACCTGCCATTCTGTGTCCGTTCCTCCTTCCTGTCCTCTCAGACCCAGCTGGTTGAAGCAGATGGACGCCCGTCCTGAGCTTAGTTCTGATGGAGGTTTCTTCCTGTTAGGAGGGAGTTTTTCCTTTCCACTGTTGTCTTGTGCTTGCTCAGGATGGGAGAATGTGACGAAGCGGAGATTGAATGCAATCTGCTGGTTTCCTTCCTTAGATAAATAATGTTACTAACTTATTTTTATGTACAGTATATGAATGTTTCTGTAAAGCGCCCTGAGATTACTTCTGCTGTGACTTGGTGCTATATAAATAAACTGAATTGAACTGGATTTTGTGAGTGAGAGAGTGAATGGTTGTTTGTCTCGTTTGTGTATGTGGCTGTGTGATGGACTGGAGACCTGTCCAGGGTGTCCTTCGTCTCTTGCACAGTGACTGCTGGACATGGGCACCATTGACCCCTGCAACCCCAAAAAAGGAAGAAGTGGATAAAGATGATGAATGGATGGATAGGTAAACATGGAGAATAGAACAAGTGAAGACAGCAGCAGAATGAAGATATGTGGTCAGTTTGTCCTCCAGCATTCTGCAAAACAACTAAGGGATAGCTCAGGAAACCCAAGTCAACCCTAACTATAGGATTTATTTAAAAAAAAAAGTCTTAATCCTAGTCTTAAAGGTAGCGTGTCAGCCTCACGGCCAGAAATTGGAAGCTCTGCCTTCCGTTCTACTTTAAGTAACTCTAGGAACCACACGTCAACCTGGTGTCTGACCAAGAAGTTCTGTTTGGAAAAAAATGAACAATAAGACGTTTAATATAAGATGAAGTCTGGTTGTTGAGAGCTTTATGTGTTAAGCGAGATATCAAATCTTATTCTGAATTTGACAGGGAGCCAATGGAAAGAAGCCAAAACAGGAGAAATATGCTCTCTCCTAACTCTCATCGGAACTCTACGCATTTTGGATCAAGAGCATCGACTAGTATTGTCTGATGAAGTGGTCACATCAAAGTAATCTACATTTAAGGGAATATTAACAAAAACGCTCCAAATGAAATAATTACAGTAAACTATGGGTCTGCAACTTACAGCTCTGAAGCCACATGTGGCTCTTCAGGCCTTTTCAGTGACTCTGTAATTTTGACCCAACATAACAAGAACCCAAGAATAAAAAAAAATCTACATACTAAGCACAAAAGCTGTAAAAGTATGAAGCAGTTTTGTAAGGCCTCAAAATATGACACTGTATTGACATACAGAAAGTTATTCTTATTGTAAAAAAGAGAAATTGAAAAATATGGATATGTTGGGGATCAAGCAGGGCGGTGGAGTGCCATAAAACATTCAAACATCGTCATACAAACACACACGGCTTTTTCTAGACCAGTGAGTTTATCGTTTCAACCTAACCTGTCTTTTATCTGCATACTTTACTTAACAAACCTTAGTGTAAATATGTACCAGTACATTATAATGGTTGAACTTCTCCATCTCAAACAGCTGCTCCATTATTGATCTGTTCTGTTTCTAAACACATAAGGTCATAAATTTTGCTTCAATTTTTGTTTTTTATTTAGTGGTGGAATTCAAGTATATAAGAGTCTTTGCAAGTTCTCGAGTAGAGAAGTAAGAGCAGGAGATGGATTAAGGGATTGGGGCCACATCTTCAGTAATGAGAGTGTTGCTTGGGTCGATCTTGGTGAAGAAAGAAAGGCAACGCCCTAAATTTACTACTCTGTCTACGTTCCAGCCCTCGCCTATGACTGGAGAGAGATGTCTGGGTTTCTCCCCTGGATCTGTCGCCTCTATGACCTGACCACAGATAAGCAACAGAAGATGGAAATCAAGATTTTAAATTTAAAGATACATTAATGGGACAAGTAGTCTATGACTTCTGTTAATTATTTTATAATTTTTTGACAGGTCTCCATGGAATTGCAATGATTATATTTAATTATATGGGTCAAGTAGAGACAAAAATGACTCCTTGAACAAAAAGGTAAACAGGTTATTAATAACCTACAAAATTAAAAACTGTAATTGTGTAAAACTGCAAATTATTATTTCTTATTTGAATTCATACATATTCCACATGTCTGATGTCTATTTAATAGGAAGTGTCCCTATCATATGAAAAAGAACAAGATGGTTTTATATAATCTTTTCCTGCAGTGGTGGCTGCCTCTGCTGTACAGATCACTCTGGTTCTTTACAGTAGGGGCAAAAAACCTCAACAATGCCCGACATGTTTTCTGGAGCTCGCCTGTGCCTGTCGTTGTGCCATTGTGCCCGTTGTTTCTGGTTCTTTGTGCTTTTATTCAGGCTGCACCGTCCTCATCCTACATTACCCACATCCACAAAGAGAAAGGCCTCCCTTTCTATTGGCCTGTCTCTGCTTTTCCCTCTCAAGCCTCTCCATCTAGTTGGATCTGCGCACAAAGAGCGCGCAGCCAATCAGATGGCACATGCTGCAGAGTCCCAGCCAATAGGCGCCGCCCTCTTATTTACATAGGAACCAGCTCAGCCAATCAGGAGTCCTCACTGCGCAGGATTTTGACCCCTCCAACCAATGGCAGAGGGCGGCACAGAGTTTTGGGGAGTGCTTATAATCAACATATTATTGAAGGTGCTGCTCAGTTATTGATCCAGTATTTCGAGGTGTAGTTCAATTTCACCTCCTGTAAACCTTCACCCTAATTTCCCCGCTCCGAGCTTGGCGGAGAACAGGTCGTAAAATGCCGAAGAGAAAGGTGAGTTGTTGTTTTTTTTGCCGCCGTCCGGCGCAGTTCACTAGTTGTTGTTTTTTTTTTTTCCTGCTCGAGCTTTGGACAAAAATAGCGGTGCTCGATAATCTGTGGTCGTCGACGCAGGTGAAGGCAAAGTTTTAGAGAGCGGCTCATTTTTATGTCTTGGCCTTTTTTTCTGCTAAGTACACAATCCTGTCTGAATCGGAATCTTATGTGGCACTGAGTGTTGAATGTCAGAATACAACTGGATAAAATGAACACGGGGGAAAAAACCATTAGCGCCTCCATGTTTAATTTAGCCGACCGAACACTATTCATATGAAGGAGGGGGAAGTAAAGAGACAACGTGGGGACAATTGACGCGTTAAAAGAGGCCCCAAGTCTTTATAAACCGGGTACACGTCGAGCTGCAGCGCTTTGTTGTCAGTGCATGGATGAAACCGGCTTTTCGACCACCTCAAATCTGCCATTGTCTGCGCAGATCCTCCTTTGAGGGCAGAGAATGGAGGGGGTGAGGGGGCGGAGGGGTTGCACACATGCAAATGATTTCCATCATGCGCACCAAACCAACATGTCCCCTCCCTCCAGGTAGAGGTGGACTCTCCTGTGCACCCATCTACATGCATCCGGCTACTTAAAGCCACATTATATCAAAGGCTGGTGGTGATTTATCTCATAAACCACTGGACAAGTTTGAACAGGAAAGTAATCTCTGGATGCACGTGCACGACTGAGGTTGTAGTGGCAACCCTGATTCAAGATGGCCACCACAACACAAAAGCAGTTATGTCGATTTTGCATTTATTGAACTGAAGTTCGGTGTAGTAGCAGAGGGTCATCCCCGTCACATATGTGGAACTGACTGAGCAAAATCTTTGTTCAAAACAATGTCCCAACTTTTAGAGTCGACCCCGTTTGTCTTTTAGCAAAATATCTCGTGAACCATTGGATTTTAATGCACCGAAGAAAAATATACACACTTTTTTGTTTTTGCTTCCATTTTTAATGAGCTGAACTCAAAGATCAAATGGTTTCTATGTACACAAAAGTCCCTTTTCTCTCAAATATCGTTCACACATTTGTATAAATCTGTTAGTGGTCCGGTCCTCAACTTGCAACATCAGTGGCATTGTGCTGTGAGATAAAACTGCACATTTTAGAGTGGCCTTTTATTGTGGTCAGCCTAAGGCACACCTGTGCAATAATCATGCTGTCTAATCAGCGCCTTGATATGCCACACCTGTTGGATGGATGGATTATCTTAGCAAAGGAGAAGTGCTCACTAACTCATATTTACACAAATTTGTGAATAATATTAGAGAGAAAAAGGCCTGTTGTGTAGATAGAAAAAGTCTTAGGTCTTTGAGTTCAGCTCATGAAAAGTGGGAGCAAAAACAAAAGTGTTGCGTTTTTGTTCAGGGTATAACTTTCATAAAGTGATTATCCCTTGTATTGTCCTTTTGGGGAGAAATCTGCCACACATTTATTCATGTTTTGATTTTAATTTATTTTTGGTACCGTCAATAAGCATGATCTTTTCTGACAGCCTAAAAATCCTTCTAATTAGTTTTGTCAGAATATTTTCTAATGCTCTCATAACCTCACAGTAACTTTACTACACTCCTTAGGAGGGAATACAACTTTTAATCCCATGTTTATGTTACAAAATAATGCATCCTTCTTTATCCTTTACATTAGCCCACTAGGTGATGTTCCACTTGTTTAAATTTGCGAGATGCTGTAAAAATCACTGACGTGTCATCTTAGCCTGGATGCAGTATGTTCCCTCGAATAGACATCGCTGCGGAGTCCCGCCTCTTGTCTGACAACGGTTTTAATTTGTATGTAATGAGCAAAAACACACATGCATGTTGCACAAGTCAACATTTAGTATGAAATAGCTGTTCTACATGCATGCAGGCTGCATAACTGGACATTCACAGCTCAGAACGGCTTACTCTTGTTGACTTCACCCAAAGCAGGACGTCATTAGCGCCACCAGTCTCTTGTAGCTTGCTAGTATATCCAGATCAGTAAAAAACAAAAGAGAAACTGTTAATCTGTGCACAAGAAGAATTTTTTATTTTATTTTTTAAAATAACCATCTACTACCACTGAGCGACACAAATGAGTTTGATTGAAGCAAATACATAATTTTCAGCTACCAGGTCAGTGGACTGGAGGTTTTTGCTTAAGTTGTAACTGGAATAAATTATTATTATTATTTTAATTGTCAAAAAATCATTGAGGGAAATGTAATTTATTTTTATTTTTTGGTTTGTTTGTTTTTGTGTTTTTGAACATTGTCATAAAATAAACATTTTGTCAGTTCTTTAAAAAAAAAAAAAAAAAAAGCTGAAACGTTGAGTTCTTTAATACTAAAAGATCAGTAAAGAGTTTACGTAAACAAAAACAAAAAAAATCACTTAAATTTGATATTTTAATTTCAGTCTGAGTTGGTCCTAAAAAATCTACTAATTTATTGTAGACAAAAATATTTCAAAATACTATTTTTAAGCCGTTAAATGTGGTGGTTGATTTTTCTTTTCCTAAGTAATATGAATAATAGGGGTGCACCCAATTTACTTAATTTTTGGAAATCGGCCGATACTTGCATGAGAAGCCGATTTTAACTATTTTTTTGTTTTTGTTTTAACAACAATTGTCTAAACTTCATTTATATTTCAGAGCACTACCTCATGGCCAGTTAAAACCAGTTTGTATTGTTTCTAGGATATTGTTCAAGGGTATGTTTTTCAATAAAATAAGATTGGAAGGTGCATTGTGACCTTACAACACCTGACAGTGTCTCTTATACAACAAAATCGGTATCGGCCAAAATCGGAATTGGCAGGTCAGACTTTTTAGAAATCGGTGATCGGCCAGAATACTGCAGTCAGTGTACCCCTAATGAATAATCATAAAGTTAAAAGACAGTACAAGAGATAATAGACATATATTTATAATGGTTTACCTTTTAGAGTAAAATCAGTTCACGATGGCTGCCACAGCTAATCAACCATAAACACTAAAAATGGCTGGAAGTCTGTCAACTTCCTAGATATTTTGTATTGAAAATGTTGTGGTTGTAGCTGAGAGTCATTCAAAACATTCTTAGAGCTAGATATACTACACACTGTTGCCCATTATTTCTAACTTAGCTGTTGAAACAAGACAAACCTTTATTTTTGTTAGCAAAATATCATGAACCACAAGGTAGATTTCAATGAAACCGTAAAAAATAAATTATTGGACGTACATCTACAACTGATCAGTCCAAATCAAGATGGCTGCCACAGCTAACTGAGCTTACTCAACGCAGACGTTTCCAACAAATCAGTCATATTTACATAAAATGAGCTAAATTTTGGTGTGGTCGTAGCTAAGAGTGATTCAAAACTACCACAATACTCCGGGTGTTAACAGATCTCACATCTCAGGAGACTGGGCGTAACATACATTTTTCTGAGAAAATTCTGGATTCTGAGTATCTGGGTAAATCTGAAAATATTTGAGCTTTGTCCACCACCAAGAACCTAAGTAAACAGCGAGTGGAGCGAGGCTTGTTTATTTAGCGCAGCTGTTGGCGACCATGAAGCTAAGCAAATCAGATCCACGCTATACCTAGTCCCACAGTAGGTTAACAAGTGGTGCACTGGTCATAAAAACAGTCTTCCTAACAAATAAACAATGCATTTCATTGAGGACGACAAAGATAACGTTATTAACACTGATATTTATATTTACAGCTATGTTAGATTTATTGTTCTGGATAAAGTTTGTCAAGGCAATAGGCTATACTACATTATCTAAATGTTAGTTTATTAACTTGAGAGGCGTGTAGCTAATGACTAGCGGGTTGGAGGATTGAAGATAATTTATTATTGATTTGTTTTATAGATCGGTTAAAATAACTGTTCAGCAAAATACCCTACACAGTATAGCTCCCTGCTTTGTCTGTACTGAATATCAAAGTGAAACTTAAATGAACAGCAATGACTTGAAAGTATTCTTCATTAGAGTGGCGATTTCTGACCCGACCCGAAATTCGGGCTGGGTCGAGCCAAAATTATATGCTTGATGGGCGGGCCAGGTCGGTCTTGTGCTTTTGATGCAGTTTTATGAATCGTACAGCACAAAGAAAACTAAATAAGAATGCATGATATAAAATTGTGTTAATCTACTTGTGGTGGAGGAGGCAGTAAGTTTACTATGGTGAGGAAAGAAAGAAAACAAAGTGCAGAAGTTAATCAGACTGTGAAAAGAGAGAGCAGCGCTGGCGTATTGCACAACAGTTGTGTATGTGGCCCCGCCCACACTGCTTTGCTCTTATCAAACATCTGAGTATTTGTACTTGTACAAGTATTTGTAGTATTTGAGTATTTGTACTGTACAGTATTTGCAATTGACTCACAACAAGCGACATAATGGATCTGGAACATATTAAACAAAAGCTAAGAACGGGAGAACTCGCTCTACATAGCCAGCACAGTGAAACCTGCTGATGTGTGTCAGGTGCACGCTCGGGTCCGACCGGCCGGTTGAGAGAGGTTTAAAAAAAAAAGTCCCGTTAAGCTTCAGATGGACAACCGGATCAGTGTTTCCCCTAGATAACTTGCCATAGCAAATCATCTCATCCATGATTTTTCTCGGTGGGGGGGGGGGGGTGCTGTTTGTACTGGCAGTTTTTGTATGCTGGGTGGGCGTTTCCAATGTGAGAGAAGAGGCAGCTCACGCTGCCTTTAGCTTTTTAGCTAGCGCACCTGTATTGTGCACCACTAGCTTAGTGTCATGCCAGTGCCTACAGGTGGGGGGGAGGGAGGTGCGTACAGTTCAGTTCGGTAGGCAGGGGCCGGGGTGCTCTGTTCTGTTAACGGGGTGGTGCGTCCCGCTTGTATAATGGTAGGGGGAACACTGTGGATTATTAGCCGTGCGTGTACGCTGACCGTAGCGTGCGTGTACGCTGACCATCTGGTTTAAAGAGGTAAAAAAAAAAAGTCTCGTTAAGCTTCCAGTGGATCATCGGCCGTGCGCGTCCCTCCACACCCTGCTCCTCATCCTGCTCTCATCTGCGGTGAAAGATGTTGCAGCACCTGAAGCGAGCAGCGCGTTCAATGAAAATAGTCTTGTTCTATATTTTTCCAAATAATTTTGCTCTAAAAATATTTTGTTCATCTGTATAACAGCCTATGTTTAGAGTTGATTTTTTTAGGCTATTCATTTTGAATGTTAATATCCATTTGGTGACTTGCTAATAAACAAAAAAATCTTATTTTCCTTTTTTGAAATATGTTTTTAAAACTATCATGTCAAACTGATTTGCTTACATAAGCAGTAAAAGCGTAATAAAAAAGTTAAAAAAAAAATTCGGGTTCGGGCCTCTAATTACAGTTAATTAGTCGGGCTGGGTCTGATTTTTTTTTTTTTTTAGGCCATTGGCCCTGCTGGATTCATTGTACAATGACGGCGTGTTCCAGCATTTTAGGGGTGAAAATTAGAAGTGCTTATATCTGCGCATAATGGGACAATTATCATTGATACAATAGGTCCCCAAGTGTCTATATCGGCCTAAATTATCGGTCCTACCGATATATCGGTTGTGTTCTACTTATGAATCATTATTTCATAGCCCAGTTATTCTCTGAGGAGCTTCTTTCTCTGCTTGTAAGCAAAATGCTCCATTTTTAATATGAAAATCACCAGAGAGCTCCCAGCATGTGAATCATCATTCCATGATATGGAACAGCAGCACATCTCTGAGCACTTTAAACTCATAAAACAAAAATAAAGTAGGTGAAACTTTTTTTAAAAACATAATTTAATTAGATATGCAGATACATAAACGTCAGTTAATCTAGAAAACATTAGTTATGCAGTAAATAAGATCTTTACATGGTGTTTGCATCTTTATTACACTGTTAATGAAAGAACTATTCTTATATATATATTTTTTGTTACTTTTTTGAATGTAGATTCTTATCTTAGAAATATCCAGAAAGAATGATATTTCTGCTTCAATGTATGGTGGTTGTAAAGTACTCTCTAGATAAAACAGATGGGGGTAGATTCTTCAAGAATGACAAATCATCACAAGTTGCTGAATACCCTGATGAAGACGTGCAGTCGCCATGTTGCATTGAAGCTTTTCTGTTCGCAGGTTGTTTAATAAGAGTCTATGTATCGGTAATTGCTTTGTTCTTTGACAGCTGTCGTTGTCAACGTGTTGATAAAGACATCTATGTGATGCACTGGTGAACTTCCTTTAAAGATGACAACAGCCAGTGCTGCTGACAGTTCTGAAACACAGCAAAGTCTCGCACTGTGACTTGAACATTTGTAAATTACATAATCCCTTTGTATTGTTTTAGTTTTGCAGGGTGTATTTTTTTTGTTTGAAGCTCTTATATTTGGTAAAATTGTGGCATGTTCACAGCAACATATCGTATTATCTAGGACAGACTAATATTATCTGGCTGACCTTATCGGTTCTGCTGTTGTTTTAGTAAAGACATTGAGAAAAAAAAAGTTTTTATTGTTGTTGTTTCCTACAGTCTCCCGAAGGTGCTGAGGGCAAAGACGCCTCTAAAGTCACAAAACAAGAGGTAAAAGTTTAGTGTGTGTTCGTCTGCTGTGTGTAGGTGTGCACGCTTTGGTAACATGCTGTGTATTTGTTTTTGTCCTTACAGTTTGTGAATGTGTTTGAATGAGAAAATAAGCACAAAGCTGGTTAAAGTGATACTTCACATCTTTTCAAGTGGAAACGTTATGAATAATTAACATCTTATCTGTTGCAGATAGCTCTAGAGTTTATTTTTTTCTGGACTGACAGGACCAACTCAATTCAAGATGGCCACCATAGCCAATCGGTCAGAGAATACTGAACGGCTATAGATCAGTCCATTTAACAGATATTGAGCTATAATTGGACGTCGGTGTTTCTTCTACCATTTTACAAGCAGGGCGCCCCACTCTGTCAGCAGAACCGAGCGCCCTGCCTACCAGACCGAGCCACCCCGTTGACAACTGCCAGCACTGACGTAATACAGACACGCTAGCTAAAAAGATCCGCTTCCCTCGCACTTAGCCATCTCCAGTGTGCCTTGGTCACCACTGTCTCCACCCTACCCCCGTCAACAAAAATCACGGGAGAGATGAGTGCCCTGCCAAGACGAGTAATGTAGGGGAAACACTGGATGTGGTAGTAACGGAGATGTTCACAACGCACGCTCTGAGCACTTACTAAATTTTTGACACTAGAGTTGTTTTAAGGTGACAACAGACCTCTTTGTGGCCATGCATCAGATTAAGTTCTAGTTGATCGCTCTGGTCAGAACTGAAACGTTCAAACTGAGGTTGTTCAAAGAGCTATCTACAACAAGTAAGATATTAACTGCTAATAGTATTTTTGCAGAACCCCACTTAAAAAAACCTGAATTATCTCTTTAATTAATACAACATTTGTAACAGTCACCAGTTAGATCAGATGAAGACAAGCCCACAAAGTTACAACTGATATCTCCCTCTCTGTCACCATCTCTCTCCATTTCTCTGTCTTTTTGATCATCCCTTGCTCCGGTAGCCCACCAGAAGGTCAGAGAGATTGTCAGCGGTAAGTGTCGTTCTCCCCTCCCTGTCTTCACCTCCGTCGCTGTCCTCTTCTTTTCCCTCCCAGACTCCTCACTCATTATAGTGTCAGATTACCGCGGCACAAAGTCCTCACCCACTTTTACGGGTTTGACGAAGACATCAGTGTTTACAATTTTCATAAACCTGCTCCCAGAGGAGTGAGTCTGGCCTGGTATGCATGTCTTCTCACTGTTGTTTTTGTCCATTGTCATTGTGGTCAACTGCACAATCGCTTGTTATGTAGAGCTGCATGGTGTAAAAAATAAGAAGTAGTAAATCACATTCTCAGTAGCGGATATAATTAAAATAGATAATGACTTTAGAATAAAACCAATGATTATGAATGGTTTGTAGTGATCATGCAGCTCTGCCACACAGGTGATGTGTTTCTATGTGTTTGCATGTTTAATCCATCTGTAGAGACTTTGCATGTGTTTGGACATTTGCATGCATACTTTAAAGGGACTTTGGGGCAATTTGTGTAAACTGCATTGTTTCTGTATTGCTTTGAGTTTGATGAGAGAATCAGTATAGCCATAATTCTTACAGAGGGGTGTTTTGATGCTAAAACACCTTCAATGAATCATTTGAGTTTCCTATAAAAAATAAAAGAGAATTGTCACTACTTATTCAACAGTGGGTACAACACACAAACTGTATGAAATATTATATCAAACTTAATTTAAAAGATGCATGAAAAGCTCGATGCCCAGATCTAGACGGTTCCACAAACCCCCGCAGCATTAGGGATTATGTTATTCATAGCACCGTGATGTGATTAAAGTAAATATGATATGGCTGTTATCAAAAGCAACTTCCTCTCACTTTCAGAGTCTGGCTTCTTTCTGCCAACACATAGTAGTGCACTTAAGTCGGTGCAAAAAACACATTTGACCGATGTGATTTCTAGTTTGGCCAATAATTTCATTCTGTAGAAGAAATGGAACCAGCACTGTACTACAGATCGACCAGAGTGGGATTTAAAACTGATCTTTAGAAATCTAGAAAACCAATAGTCAATTTATAAAACCAATATTTACACTTACAAGCTACTTTATTAGTTAAAGTTCAAGTTTCTTTGTCATTCACATCACGTGGTACATGAGGTGGAATGAAATTATGCACTCAAGGTCCCAGTTACACCAAACAATAGCAAAAGTATAACAAGAAACAGTATATAAGGATCTAAGATATACAGGTCCTTCTCAAAAAATTAGCATATTGTGATAAAGGTCATTATTTTCCATAATATAATGATAAAAATGAAACTTTCATATATTTCAGATTCATTGCACACCAACTGAAATATTTCAGGTCTTTAATTGTTTTAATACTGATGATTATGGCATACAGCTCATGAAAACCCAAAATGCCTGTCCCAAAAAATTAGCATAT